GGATATATATAGCTTTCATTTTATTCATAAAATAAATACTGTTATTTAATATACAACTCGTACTATTATAGTCCAGTCAAGTAAAACATCCGTGTGTGCAAAAGGTCATGTAGTTCTGGTTTTTTAGTATGTTGATACTGTTGTTTGTTAGGTCCTATACCACCCAAGTAAGAAACCAAGTTTGCAGCTTCGAAAGACCTGTGCTACCGGCGTAGTAGCCAAAAAATTGTAAAAAATTGTAGCGTAAAAATTGTACACTTTTTTCACTTTGTGAAATTAAATTTGGCTTGAAGGTGTAGGTAAACCTTTTAAAGAGCTTAAAAAAAAACAAATGATTTAGTATATTGAAGTGTTTTTTTCCGGTTATTGGTTACAAAGAAAATTTAATAGATTCTTAATTTAAAATTCCCATGTTATTCTTATGGAGAATAAGTAAACTGCTGTGGTTTGCTTGTTTATGGATATATTTTGATCAAACTTGGCAAATGTATTTATTTTATACTAAACTATTCATATGTTACTAAAAAAACACACTTTATTACCCTCCCTGCAGCAGCAAACCTAGATTGTTAAACCTAATTTTAATTTTATTTAAATAGATTTAATTGAAAATCAAATAAGGTAAATGGAAATTTGCTTAGTCTGCAGGTTTGCTGTGGCGGGGGTATTTTTATCTAAAATCACCACCACATAGACAGGTTTCCAAAACCATAGTCTAGTTCAATGAGTGGTCTTCGTTGAACAACAGACAACTCTTACCCTAGTGTAGAAAGAGGATCACACTACATCAAATTGGCTGGGTAGCTGAGTGGTTATAGTGCTCGCCCAGTAATCAAAAGGTTGCCGGTTCGATCCTAAGAAAAGTCAGTAGCTTTTTGATGGTTCAAAACTGGACCCAGCTGTTCCTTATCATTGGGCTTTAAATAAATGATCCTGACTAATGAAACCGCTGATCTTAAGCCCCCCATACACGGGCGAGCATGTTCGCGAGCATGCTCGTGACGGTGTTGGCGACGAACATGCTCGCCCGTGTGTGGGATCCGTCGCAGCGAGCATGTTGGGCTCGGCGCTCGGCTCGTCGGACTTGACGAGCCCGAACACGAACATGCTTGCCCGTCTGTGGGGACGACCATATGTTCGAGAGCATGTTCGCCGCTGCAACATGGGTAGAGATAGGCTAAATGATTCCATCCATGTAGCCGCTACTATGATTCCAGTTACACTCGTGGACTCATTACAAGTAACCGTTCCAGTTCCAAACGATTACTTTGTTACCGCCATTACAAAGTAGCCGCAATAGACGGATTGCACTTGTAAATCATCATGGTGTTGATACTCTGATGTATTCCAGTTACAGTAATAGATTTAGAATCAATGTTTACAGAAGCTAAATAAATATTTATTTGTGTTTGTAACGCAATAAATACAAATTTAAATGGGTTTCCAAAATAGAGGGTTCATGTATATTAATACACAAATGTGTACAATCAATTTTGTAGTAATTTGTCACAATTAAATAATTCTAAGAAAGGCTAGAATAAGCAAAACTACGAGAAATGTTATTGCACAACTATTTTCAAACCATGACGGATGAATTTAATCCAATAACTTAAGGCCTGGCACAAACGGCCGATATCGGCCGATTACAAAATCGGCTAAAAATAAATCGCCCCTGATTTATGTCTAAGAAATAATGCGTATGTTGCAAAAAAAACTAAATTCTGTAATTGCAGCAAAAAAGCAGGAGTAGGCTAAATAGGCTTACACACAACTTGACTGTCACAGAGCACAAGAGAAGCAAGAATAGGCCTAGGAACCGCTACCGAGCGACGAACATGTTCGCGAGCATGCTCGTCCGTCTCTTGGAAACGCCAAGCATGTTCGCGAGCATGCTCGTCCGTCTGTTGCCAACGCCGAGCATGCTTGCCCGTGTATGGGGGACTTTAGTCAGTAACAAAGCTACACAGGTCATTACACACCATTCTACACTCATCCTTCACTCATATTTGGGTTAAAATACGCACTTAGGTGGTGTCCCCATCTCATTGATTGATAATTGATAAGTCTAACCTTGATACAGAGTGCTATCTTCAGGGTTTTTTGGCTCTCATTTGGGAGTTTGTCAATAAACTTCCAAAAAAATTAAAATTTGATCATCTTATAACTAATTAATCTGTGAATGATGTTTCAGGCTCTAAAGGAAGCAATCAACAGATGGACGGATAACATTTTTCAACTAAAGTCATGGTGCAAAGAAAAATTTAGTATAGAAGAAACAACCCTAAACAAGTCATTTGGTATTCCAGCAGACCTCGATTACCTTGATTGAGTTAATTGTAAAAAATGTCAAACCAAGTAGAGTCAATAAGTTCCTAGTGTTGACAGTAAGATGTAAATTGTGTTAAGGTTTTTGTTATGTTTGTTTGTTCCTCGTGTGGTCAATAAAAGTTGCTTGTAAGATCAAATAAAAAAGTTTGAGTGTTCGTGGTGGTTCAATTTCATTGTCCTATTGAACCAAAAAGTAAGATGATTAAAAACATTGTATTCTGTGGGGCCCCATTATCATGTTTGCCGAAAAATAGATTAAGAGCTTCAGGTATCATTAACATTTGGAATGGGATTGCTGCAGTAATAGGCCCAGCATTAAATTTTCAGAAAATTTAAGGCCATTTAGTAAACAAATAATTAATTGTGACATTTACTTCAAAAATGTAATATTTTCAAAATTTGACCCTCAAATTTTTGTCCAAGCTTTTATTCAAAATTCTAAAACCGTTACTTTTTCAAGTTTTATTTTATCTCCTTAAGGTCTCACCTTATCTTGAAGGGGCATACTGAAGCCTCAAAGCACTTCATCCGGATTTATCAAATTATTGCACACCCCAATCAGTTGTTCAGAGACCTTCAATATTCAAGAAGCTGATAAAGTTCCTCCTCAAGAAGGTGACTACCGCTTGCGCATTTTTGATATCGTTATTTCATTGTGTTTCACCCACTATTTAATTGTGCAAAAACAGTCTGGAAGTTGCATAAATTAATGAGTCGGTTCATTATAACCTAACCTTTACCTTCCTAATCTATCCTCACTTCAAAACACTTAATACAGTCACGAATCCGCATAAAACCCGACCTACCTTCCTCACATGCCTAAATAAGAACTGATTATTTGGTTTCAAAATGAATTGATTTGATTTCATTCCGCATTAGACCAAGTATAAACAGTTGTTTGCTCTTCTCACTCAGTCCTCACTCCTCACTCTTCACTCAGTACGGACCCGTCCAGACCACGCCATATTACCATTAGCCTACCACCTTCAATCACCGCTCAATCATCCTTAGATTTGTAATCCTAACCTTCGTTTTACGGCCACTTAGGAATCTCTCCGACAAAAACTGATTGCATTTTTGGATTCAGCGTTAAAAATACTGTAAGTAGACATAAAAATTACATCATATCCCAATGTAAATACGGTAAATATTTGCCAAAATTTTGACTAACTTTCCCAACTATGATTAGGCTATGGGAGGGTTTATCAGAGTTTTAACGCGATCGTATGCCAATATAACCACAAAATATTTTACTTTCCAATTATTTGGCGCCTCCCAAAATAGCCAATTGCCTCATGCCTACCGTGCCTATTTGGTAAATCGGCCCTGGTACTAGGTTGATGTCCAAGAGGTAGGTCCTAGCTATATTAACCCTCCGAGTGTCCCTTGTTTTGGCCTTAATGTCTGCCTATTTTTTGCTCATTTGCAAGGTTTTATTAAAACGGATCTGAGAAGCTTGAAAACAATGTTAATTATAGGTACTGTTCTATATACCATTTTGTTTGGAAAATCATGGGCTTCAATATTATACATAGAACATAAGGAACATTTGTTTCAAAAAAAATTTTTAGGTAAAAAAAATTTTGGAAAATTTTCCAAAAAAAATAAGTTTGCGCTCAATGAAATTGTATAAAATTTATAGTCCTATAAATATTTGAAAATAGCCACTTTGTTCTAAATTTTATGAGGATTACAAATATATAATAATATAAGGAAGTAGATTTGCAAATAAATAAGTTATGGGCAAAAAACAGATTTCAGTACATAGCGTTTAGCTAAGAATGCATAGCCTAACCATAGCTAGGAATCTGGCTGATAATTTACATCAATATCACTACCTACTTCTTCAGGATCATCAACCAGCCCTTCAAAATCACTTAAATCTTCTTATAATGCACCACGTATATCACTACTTTTGATTTTTAACACTAAAACAATGATAAACGTAATAAAACACATCGGTCCGAGGATAACCAAGCTGTTTACAAATACGCACGTCAGCTGTCTGCTACAATATTTTCGGAACTAAAATGAATAGCGCTTAGAGACAGACCTCCGGAGAAAGCTCTGAATCTGTAAAATAAAACGATACCTAACTCGATCCAGTTCAATCCGATTTTGTCAGTCATAGAGCCTTCGCCGTAAACAGTGTTTGTGAGTCGCTGCAGCGACAAATAACACTCGGAGGGAAGATCGAATCCCGTCAGTGACACAAAATTTTGTCAAAGATTTTGCTTAGGATGCGATTTCTTCTTATAACTGTAAATAATTTGTTAGAATTTATGGCAAAAATCATTTTTCTGTATGAACAGAATTTAACCTTCATTCAATTTATTTCATTATCTATAAGTAAGTTTGGTTAGTTTATTATATAAACTTCCAGATGCCTAATTGAACCGGGTTACCGGTCGTGTATCCTCTGCCAAATAAAATACACAAGTACCGTAAGTTATTGAATTTTTATTGCAATTTCATGTAAATATTATTTAGACCCTAATTGATCAGAAAAACGTAATAAAGAATGGTCTGTGGGGATGTTAAATGTAATAACCTTGCCCAAAAGGCAAAGCTGGCCCACAGGTTAGGGTAATAGGACTAGGGCAGTGACTTAATATGTCTGTTACTCTTTCTACTTTCTGGCGTCAAGCTAATGTGTAAAAAAACGTACCTACCATTCAACAAGGACTCCTTTCATAACATTGACCATGATCGATTTGTCTTCATACCAAGCCCTTAGACATGAAATGTTAAATAAGTATGTAAGTCTTCTTTTTAAATAAATGCTTGAATACTACAACTACTGAACTAGGCTACTTCTTTCTTTAATTCCTAACCTAACTAACTACACAACACAACAACACAACTACACTTTTTGTTTTCCTTCGGTGGGGCACACGGAAGATTTCTAAGGTGCCGTTTGACGTACCGTCGTGAAGTTAGCGGCTCTTTTCATCGGCGCTTTTTCGGTTTGTAATAGATGTGGGTTGGTACGCCTGTGGGCGCCTAAAACGTGTTTTTCAGGGATGTCGGAAACACAATTCAATGACAATACGGTGCGAAATGATGTTTTTACATTTATATAATGTCAATCATACCTTGATAAAACGTGTATACACGATAAAACTAATTAATTGGTGTATTTTAAAAGGCATATTTGAGACCGTACTGTACATTATACGTAGCTATGGCTTATCATACCGCAATCAATTAAAACTCCAAACATATAAAAGTGCATAATCTTTTTCCTAAGCCCATCACACCACCTTTAAGCTATTATAATGGTAATATACAATGTGTAGAATACTCAGTATGAATATGATTGAGGCAGTCCCCTAAATTACGAAGTTATATGGCAAAATGTATATGGTTTATAGGAACTTGCATCAGGAAAAGTGCACAATGTTGACCCTGAGCCCATCACATCAAATTTGAGGTATTCTAATGGTAATATACAATGTGTAGAATACTCAGTATAAATATGATTGAGGCAGTCCAGTGAATTAAGAAGCTATAAGACAAAATGTATATGGTTGATAGTAACTCGCATTAAGAAAAAGTGCACAATCTTTTTCCTAAGCCCATCACATCAACTTAGAGGTATTCTAATGGTAATATACAATGTGTAGAATACTCAGTATAAATATGATTGAGGCAGTCCAGTTAATTACGAAGCTATAAGGCAAAATCTATATGGTTGATAGGAATTTGCGTCAGGAAAAGTGCACAATCTTTTTCCTAAGCCAATCACATCAATTTTGGTGTATTCTAATGGTAATATACAATGTGTAGAATACTCAGTATAAATATGATTGAGGCAGTCCAGTGAATTACGAAGCTATAAGGCAAAATCTATATGGTTGATAGGAATTTGCGTCAGGAAAAGTGCACAATTTTTTTTTCTAAGCCCATTACATCAACTTTGAGGTATTCTAATGGTAATATACTATGTTTAGAATAATCAGTATGAGTATGATTGCGGCAGTCCAGTAAATTACGAAGTTATATGGCAAAATGTATATGGTTGATAAGAATTTGCGTCAGGAAAAGTGCACAATCTTTTTCCTAAGCCCATCACATCAACTTTGAGGTATTCTAATGGTAATATAAAATGTGTAGAATACTCAGTATAAATATGATTGAGGCAGTCCAGTGAATTATGAAGCTATAAGGCAAAATCTATATGGTTGATGGAATTTGCGTCAGGAAAAGTGCACAATACTTTTCCTAAGCCCATCACGTCAACTTTGAGGTATTCTAATGGTAATGTACAATGTTTAGAATAATCAGTATGAGTATGAATGCGGCAGTCCATTAAATTACGAAGTTATATGGCAAAATGTATATGGTTGATAGGAACTCGCATCAGTAAAAAGTGCACAATCTTTTTCCTAAGCCCATCACATCAACTTTGAGGTATTCTAATGGTAATATACAATGTGTAGAATACTCAGTATAAATATGATTAAGGCAGTCCAGTTAATTACGAAGCTATAAGGCAAAATCTATATGGTTGATAGGAATTTGCGCCAGGAAAAGTGAACCATATTTTTCCTAAGCCCATCACATCAATTTTGATGTATTCTAATGGTAATATACAATGTGTATAATAGTCAGTATAAATATGATTGAGGCAGTCCAGTGAATTATGAAGCTATAAGGCAAAATCTATATGGTTGATAGGAATTCGCGTCAGGAATTACCATACAGATTTTGCCTTATAGCTTCGTAATTTACTGGACTGCCTCAATCATATTTATACTGAGCATTCTACACATTGTATATTACCATTAGAATACCTCATATTTGATGTGATGGGCTTAGGGTCAACATTGTGCACTTTTACCTGATGCAAGTTCCTATCAACCATAAACATTTTGCAATATTACTGGGTAATTTAGGGGAGTGCTTCAATCATACTCATACTGATCATTCTACCCATTGTACATTACCATTAGAATACCTCAAAATTGATGTGATGGGCTTATGAAAAAGATTGTGCACTTTTCCTGACGCAAATTCCTATCAACCATATAGATTTTGCCTTAGGTCTAGCTTCGTAATTAACTGGACTGACTCAATCATATTTATACTGAGTATTCTACACATTGTATATTACCATTAGAATACCTCAAAGTTGATGTGATGGGCTTAGGAAAAAGATAGTGCGGTTTTTCCTAATGCGAGTTACTATCAACCATATACATTTTGTCATATAACTTCGTAATTTACTGGACTGCCTCAATCATATTTATACTGAGTATTCTACACATTGTACATTACCATTAGAATACCTCAAAGTTGATGTGATGGGCTAAGGAAAAAGATTGTGCACTTTTTCTAATGCGAGTTACTATCAACCATATACATTTTGCCATATAACTTCGTAATTTACTGGACTGCCTCAATCATATTTATACTGAGTATTCTACAGATTGTACATTACCATTAGAATAACTCAAAGTTGATGTGATGGGCTTAGGAAAACGATTGTACACTCTTTCCTGACGCAAATTTCTATCAACCATATACATTTTGCCTTATAGCTTCGTAATTCACTGGACTGCCTCAATCATATTTATACTGAGTATTCAACACATTGTATATTACCATTAGAATACCTCAAAGTTGATGTGATGGACTTAGGAAAAAAGATTATGCACTTTTTAATGTTCGGAGTTTTAATTGATCGCGTTATGTTAAGCCATAGCTACGTATAATGTACAGTACGGTCTCAAATATGCCTTTTAAAATACGTCAATTAATTAGTTTTAACGTGTATACACGTTTTATCAATGTATAATTGACATTATATAAATATAAAAACATCATTTCGCACCGTATTGCCATTGAATTGTCTTTCCGACATCCCTGCAAAACACGTTTGTGGTATCCGCAGGCGTACCAACCCACATCTATTACAAACCGAAAAAGCGCCGATGAAATGAGCCGCTAACTTCACGACGGTCACTAACCGCTGACGTCACTAACTGCTGCGTCTGAAGAAACAGACAATTTTATAATTTTCTATTATTAAATTAAACTGTCATAACCTAACCAAACTAACCAAACGTGCTGATAATGGAAAAATCGAATAAAGGTTTACTAATCTAAAAAATAGTTTTGTTCATAAAATAACATTATAATTGTCTAAAATTCAATTTTATAATCTTTTAATTATAAAATTAAACTGTCATAACCTAACCAAACCAACCAAACTTGCTGATATGAAAAAATTGTTGATAAAAAGTTAGGGCCGCCGGCGGGATTCGAACCCGGATCATTCAGATTATCACTTATCAGCCCGCAACGCTATCCACTGCACCACCGAGGCCGATGGCTGAAACCGTATCGTTGCGGTATTGGTGTTCCCTCAAAGTGACGTCAGCAGTTATAGTGACCAAATGGCACCTGAGAAATCTTCCGTGTGCCATTTCGCTTTTTCCTTCCGACTTCCGATTTCTTCGTTTCGTTTCTTCATTGACTAAGGAAACAAAAGTTCTTCAAAAAGAGATGGAACCAATTAACATAGTAATAATAACTGCGATGAGGTACTGGAAATATTTTATTCATTGAATAATCAAACCATATTTTGTAGCTTGCGCAATAGTCATTATTATTTTTACACTTACTTACCCACTAAACAAAGCAAAATATTAAAGTTTTTATAATTTCATTCTATTTATGGCAGTTAGATGAATTGACGTAAGCCTTGAAAGTAACCAACCGTCGATTTCGACGGGCTTCACCTAGTATTTAATAATCCTTGGTTTAATTGACTACCTAAATGTATAAACATATGTTCTCAATCAAATTAAATTTTTCTCTATAATAGTTAACATGTGTTGTATTAAAAAAAGTAAATAAAAGAGTTGTTGTTGTCGTTCAACCTTCCCTCTCAGAAATAAAATTAATTTACAATTTTCAATATGTATCTGGTCGTAAGTTTGTCCGACGGATTGTTGGCTGTGATAGCTGTTTTACTAGCCATAGCTACATACTTCCTTTACATCGATGCATACAACGCAAATGATACATCGTCATATATTTGTGAAGATTGTGTTGCTAAGATCTGCAGGAAGTAACTAAAGAACTTCAAACAAAGAATGAAGAAGAAAGCAAGAAGGAACTAGCGTCTGAGCTGCTGGACGTGTCTGGACAGGGCGGGGACACCAAGAAACTGGACTAGATCTATGAAGACGTTATAAATTTACTGTTTATAAATAACTTTGCTGTGTTCATTTAAAATTTATTATTAAAAATTTAAAGTGAATATTGTATGAATAATTTGAAACATCCCCGGTGTGGTAAGTTTATGGCTTGTTGGGTCAAAGATGTTTAAGATGTTTTTCTCTTCATGAAATATAATATCTCAACAATAAGAATTCTATTCTAGGAAGGTCACTATCCCATCAGTCACCCTCTCAGTAACGGCGATTTCTTATACTACACTCCTGCTTTTGTTTTACAAATACTCCTCCTAAACGGCTGAAGCGATCTGTATGAAATTTAGCACAGTCATAGTAATCAACCATGGGAAGGTATAAATCTGAAATGGTACAAATTGGACCACAGGGCTTTCCCTATGCGAATTTAAACTTTTAGAAATTGAACATGGACCTTATGGGCTAATTGGTTGCCATGACAGTATTTGCAAGATAACAATAAAAAGATAAACAAAAGTTGTAACATGTGTTTACCAATAAATCATCTAAACTAGCACATTGCAAAATAGAGAACAAAAGGGAAGAACAATCGAATTGATACTTTTTTTTTGTAACATTTTTATTTAATTTACAATCTGTTCAACAGAAAATAGAACAATAAGCAAATTTGATATAATTTAAACACAGTAGTTAGTCTTTATCCAGCAATAGAGCTAACACACAAACTTTGCATATTTGG